AGATGCTTTAAAAAAAAAAATCTCAAAAGTCAAGGTAATTCAAAATGACTGAAGGTAAAACACCAGTAGACTATTATTAACTATAAATGTTCTGTAAAAACAATGAACAGCAGCTTTCAGTCTGTCACTGTGATGCAAACATGAAATATCAGACATGCAGTAGTAGTTCTTTACAGGTTTTTAATTCAATTGCGCTGCTTTTCCATTGTTTTTCTGTGTAAACATGGACGTGTTTGACTGTTGCGCTCGTGTCTCTTGCATGAAACGACAGTCTAAAAACACACCGCTCAAGTTAAAAGAAGTTCACTCCCATCTTCTTGCATGTTTTCCTCTTCCACTGCCACGTCACATCTTTATTAATACAAAAGCACATTCTGTGTGATATGAGTGCGTCACACATGAGCGGTTAATCACGTGCGCCGACGTGCGGCTGGATCGTTCTTTTCTCTTTACTGTTATCACCGGCATATTGTCAAAGTGTCTAATTCTAACGTTTGGTAATATTTCTGTTCAAAATCACAATTCCTTGATTTCTAAAAAATAAAATCGTGGTAAAACATTAAATTCGAATTAATCGATAAAATCTGAAAAATCACCCAGGCCCCTAGTTCCTCTTTGTGTTGTGTTTTATTGCTGTAATGATGGGTGACAAGTTTCTTCTCTGTGTTTCAGCCTCAGTTCAGGTCCAGACTGGAGTCCATGCCCACTCTGACGTTCACAGGAAGTCTTCAGCCTCTTAAAGAGAAAGAAACGCTTCTGTCTACTCTACCTCTGTACCTGCAGGATACAGCAGACCTCACACAATATACTGAGAGAACTCAGGTCAGCCAATGTGACAGCAAAAAATGCCAAAAAACTAATTATGGTTAAAAAGACAACATGCCAGGCTATATTTTTTATAATATCATAAATATTTCTTTTTAATTAAAATGTTTTTATTTTATTTTAATAATTGTATTAGTTACAAAGTTTATAATTAATTTAACATAAATGAAATACAATTTATTTTTCAGTGATTACACTTTTTTTTATGTAGCATTGTTGTTCTTTTCCTAATCTTTGTCTTCTTTTAATCAACACTCTTACATCTGTATTCATTTTTTCCTCCTCCAACACATTTTTCAGATTTTTTGATATCTTTTAACTGTTTATAAATAACAATTAAATTGTTTTTAATTTAATTTGTTAATTAAATGTTTTTAATTAATTTGTTTAAAAATCTATTTAATTAAATTAAAAATTAAAAAAATTAATATTTACACATTTATTAAAAATAACTTTTATAAATAATTACACGTTAAAATAAAATTACTTGTAAATTTTATATTTAAAGGTAATTTTTTACTATTTTTATATTTAAATACTTTTTATAATGTTTTAGTGATTAAATGTATATATATATATATATTTGTTTTAAAAAGTTTGTTATAATCTAAATATAAAATGCTTTTTGTGACAGACAAAATAGCATTATTATACTTTTAACTGCATATACATTTTTTTTTTACAAATACACACTGTTTTTGCAATAACACAATAGCATAAATCATTTTTAATTAAATTAAATTTTTATTTTACGTTATAATTGTAATAATTACACAAAGTTTATAATTAATTTTAATTTTTTGCTTTTATATTTTTTGAAGAACTATTTTATAAATATTGACACATTTAATAAAATTATTTAAAATAACTTTTACAAATAATTGTAACAAATAAAAACAAATTTTTATTTAAAATTTGCAGTGATTAAATATACATTTGAATATATATAGATTTAATATCTATCTTTTATTTACACACACACAAACATATAAATTTATTTATTTATGTATAATACATTATATATACATTACTCCATGGTCTGTCTGAATACTGGATTCTGATTGGCTGGCAGGTATGCAGTAAAACCGTTTAATGCACAGGTAGTTTTAAGTCAGTTTAATGATGAGGAAGACCATGATTCTGATGAAGGTCCGTATACCTGCTCACGCACAGAAGACGGAGGCAAGCTGGAGTTTGCGTCTATGTTTGACACTCTTCACGCTCAGACACAGTCACACCCAGAGCCGTCGTCCTCGGGTCTGCAGGAGGATCTGGACAGGGTTCACAGGAGCCTCACGAGAGCCTGGGCTCTGGGCGTTTCTCTGGGCGGCTCCGTCCAGCAGAGAGAGCGTCTCCTCAGGTACACCTTGCTCTGTGTCTCTCGCCTATTAATGCGCTGCTTTAATTGATGCACACAAACCAATACATGTCGCTCGCACACACACACACACACACACAGAGAGAGAGAGAGAGCTCCCACCATGATGCGCTTTCATGACAGCACACTAAAACACGAACAAGGACAGAATTTACTATAGATTTCTATAAAGTTCTCATTATAATGCTATGTTTATAGCAGATTTGTGTTATATTTTCATAGAGGTTGGAGATCACAGATTTCTTAAAAAATCTTGTTTTTTAAGAAAACAAGCAGTTAGTAAATGAATAGAGTGCAAGTCTAAAAGGGGCGTTTTTATTTTTAAATTTTTTTAAAGAATTGAATTAGAATAGAGAATAACTATATATATATATATATATATATATATATATATGAAGGTCCGTATACCTGCTCACGCACAGAAGACGGAGGCAAGCTGGAGTTTGCGTCTATGTTTGACACTCTTCACGCTCAGACACAGTCACACCCAGAGCCGTCGTCCTCGGGTCTGCAGGAGGATCTGGACAGGGTTCACAGGAGCCTCACGAGAGCCTGGGCTCTGGGCGTTTCTCTGGGCGGCTCCGTCCAGCAGAGAGAGCGTCTCCTCAGGTACACCTTGCTCTGTGTCTCTCGCCTCGTGAACCTCCTGCGGGTCAGAGACTCCGCCGGCAGGAAGAGCAGGAGCGCGTGGGTCACTCACGCCCTTCACACCCTCGGGACGCTGCTGTCCTTTCTCCCGTGGGACGCCGAACGCACCGCAGGCCGCGGCTGTCTGGGCATCACTGTAGAGCTCACTAGATGTTTCGTGGACATGTTTCTCCCGCTTTCCTCCTCCGATTTAACACTTTCCTCCCAGAACTTCAGCGCAGCGCTCGTCGTCCTTCAGCGAGCGTCTCAGAGTGTGGATCGGACCTACAGCCTCCCGCCGAGAGCAGTGCATCATGGGAAGGACGGCCAGCTGACATATTCCTCTGACATGTTTTCTGTCCCACTGTTACAAGACGACGTTGATGCTGATGCCGAGACAGGAGCACAAACAGCACCTTCTAACAGGTACATTTTGGTGTACTTGAGTAGTAAGATTTTCCTAACTAGTGCTTTTTTTCAATCATCACTAGTTCTGCTCACAGTGATGTGATCAAATCCATGATACAAAGTATTAAACTGCAGCGTTAATGATTCCTCGGATATCATATAATAGGAACCACCCAGAACACCCTAGCAACTTACTAAAACAACTCAGAGCATCTTAGCAACCACACAGCAACACCCTAGCAACTTCATAGCAACATACTAAAACAACTCAGAGCATCTTAGCAACCACACAGCAACACCCTAGCAACTTCATAGCAACCTACTAAAACAACTCAGAGCATCTTAGCAACCACACAGCAACACCCTAGCAACCAACCACATCACACTTGCATCATGGCAAGCACCACTCACAAAATTATTAGTTAGTTAATAATGTATTATTTTAATTAATTCATTTTAATTAGTTTATTTGCTCTGAATTGAATTAATATTTTTAATTAATTCATTTTAAATATTTTATCTATTTCCATTAATTAATTAGTATTTAATATTGTATTTGCATTTATTTATTTAAATTTATTTCCATTTAGTTGTTTTGAGTAAATAATTGTTTTAATTATTTATTTTAATTAATTTAAATGTATTATTTAATCTTTTATTATTTTATTTATTCCCATTTATTTATAATTTTAATTACATTAAAAATACATTTAAAGTTTTATTATTCATTTCCAGTTTTTTAATAATCAAATAATTCATATTTATTTATTTTAATTAATTAATGTAAATTTATTTATTTAAAATGTATTTTCCGTTATTTCCATTTATTTATTTTTTTATTTATTTTAATTGATTTATTTATGTATTTTAAATGTGAGAGAGCACTTTCTGCATGGCCTGATGTCTCTTGCGTTTTTCAGATTGGTGGTTATCTGGCGTGAGGTGTACAAAAGGGCTGTGCGGTACCGGGAGGAATTACGTCACCGCAGAGGCGTAAAAAACGAGCTCGAGAAGATGTCAGTAATTATGCCTCAAATCCAGCAAGCTTTACAGTCAGCTGGAGACCGTCTTGAGGAGAGCCACACACTGCGTAGTTTCAGCGGTGAGCATGAGCAGCCAAAACAGAAGCATCTTTTATTACCATGATGTTATAATAATGTGTTGCTGTTGTTGTCCATCCGCAGGTGAACAGCACTTTATTTTCGGAGAATATACGGAGAGCGTTCAGGTTTGGAGGACTCAGCTGAGGGCAGAGAGACAGAGAGGTCAGTCTGTTTTCAGTCAAACGCTGCTGTTAAATGTCAGGCGTCACTCACTTTATCCGTCCTGCGCCTCACAGTCGGACCGATGACGTGTTACCTGGAGACCCGCTGCTGTCTGGCTCTTCTCTACACGCTGCTCTTCCAGTATCGACTGCGAGATGCTCAAGGTCTGTGTGACCGTCTGGCACGCCAGTTACAGACACAAGCAGGACGACAGGAAGAGGAAACGCAAGGAGAAGCTGGTAGGAAGTATATTATTACTTCAGTTAACTGGCCAAGTGGACACAATTTCAAAATGGACAAATATTAGTCAGATTAACCCTATAAAAGCGAAATTTATGATTTAGTTTTAGTCATAGTCTTTGGACTAAAATGCCATTTAGTTTGTCACATTTTAGTCATCTGAACTGTTTTAGTCCTAGTCGACTGAATATCATAAGACTTTAGTAGATTTAAATGATTTAAAATTTCCAGAGAAACCATCTGGTAATATCAACAATATAGACACGGATTAGCTGCTTTGACACATAACATGTCTTTATCTCAAAATTAAATAAAACCACTTCTCTTAAAGAAACAAGAACATGGTCCTCTTTTGAAATACCAATGATTATATGTGACCCTGCAGCACAAAAGCTTAAGTCTTAAGTCGCTGGGGTATATTTGTAGCAATAGCCAACAATACATTGTATGGGTCAAAATTATACATTTCTCTTTTATGCCAAAAATCATTAGGATATTAAGTAAAGATCATGTTCCATGAAGATATTTTGTAATGTGCAAAGCGGTTCATCTTTTATATCATGAAAGTTTGGCCAAATATGTGACCCTGGAGCACAAAAGCAGTCTTAAAGGTTTATTCTACCAAACTTTAAAGATGATTTTCTCAATATTTAGATTTTTTTGCACCCTCAGATTCCAGATTTTCAAAATATTGTCCTATCCTAACAAACCATACATCAATGGAAAGCTTATTTATTCAGCTTTCAGATGATGCATAAATCTCAATTTTGAAAAATTGACGCTTATGACTGGTTTTGTGCTCCAGGGTCACATATAATACACGTTCTTTATAACAACTTGCATACAGCATCCTTCATTCTTTCAAGCAGACATATTTATTTATATGAATTAAAATTAGATTAATCCTTATTAGGGCTACTAATGTGATTCATTCGAGAGCAGTGAGTGATTTTCTCTTTTTCTTTTGTTGATCCATTAGTAATAAGGACACAGACAACAGCAACTAAATTAGTCTGCTGTCCCTTTAAAACTGAATGCACATGTATTCAATATACTGGTACACACATCCGATATTTCTCTGCACAGGTTAAGACATAACCGGGTGTGTTTGCGTGAATGCTCGTCAAAACAGACAGTTTGAGATCCTTTTGTGTGCATTTCTCCGTTAAGACTTGAGAGAGAACTGAATTCAGTAATCGTGTGCTGTTTGAGAGGCTGTGTGTAAAACCGGACCGAATTAAGTGCTCTTTCGCGTCATCACGCTTTTCAAATTTATCCATATGTCTGCTCTTTCTTACTCCCAGACGTTGACATTTCTTACGTTTTATGAGACGTGCAGCAAGTGTATGCAAACTTATTATCAGAGAGTTACGGTTTTAGTTTTAGGTTTTAGTTCTGACTGGATCTCTGTCCAAACGTCCATCCCTATAATCTTTTCGTCTAATGTCTAAAAATTTCGTCAACGAAATTAACACTGCATCTGAATATGCCTACTTCTGAACTATATAGTATGCAAAAAACAGTACATGAAAATAGTAGTATGACCAAATTCATATTATTTTATATATATATATATAAACACTTCAAACTTGAAAAATGAACTTAATACATGTATTAAGTTAATTTTTCAAGTTTAAAGTGTTTTATTAATGTGTTTTTGAGATTTCCTAAATAAACACCAGTAAAATCTATTTAAATTGTATTTACAAACTCACCACACACAGTAATGGACAATAATTGTAATATGCTGAAAGTGTATTTTCTGAAAAATAGGACACTTTGCACTTGAAGATGATACAGAGGACAGATTACAGAATATGCAAACAAAATATGTAAAAATAATATTTTTTTAGCTTAAGATTTTATAGGGCTGATCGTTTTGGCCAAGATCACCAAAATGGAGACCTAAACTGAGACTTGTTATAGCACTTGCATATTATTGCTCTTTTGTTAGTTTTGATTGCTTTGTCCTCATGTGTAAGTCACTTTGGATAAAAGCGTCTGCTAAATGTAAAATCTAAATCAAAATCAAATAAAAATGTATAATTTTGACCCATACAATGTATTGTTGGCTATTGCTACAAATATACCCCAGCGACTTAAGACTGCTTTTGTGCTCCAGGGTCACATATTATAACCTATATATGCACTACCTTTCATTAGTTTTGAGACGGTAAGGTTTTTTAACGGTCACAAAGGCAGCGTTTATTTGATCAATACAGTAAAGTCAATAATGTTGTGAAATATTATTACATTTAAAATAGCTGTTTTCTGTGTTATATTTTTTCTGTTTTCTAACCCTAACCCTTCAGAAATCATTCTAATATGCTGATTTGCTGCTCGAGAAACATATCTGATTATTATCAATGTTGAAAACTGCTGAATGTTTTTGTGGAAACTGTGATACATTTTATTTTTCAGGATTCACAGATGAATAGAAAAGTTCAAAAGAGCAGCATTTATTTGAAATAGAAATCTTTTGTAACATTATAAATGTCTTTACTGTCACTTTTGATCAATTGAATGCATCCTTGATGAATAAATGTATTTATTTTTAATAGTGATCCCACATTTTGAACAATAGTGTATTGCTAGATTGCTGTTGTAAATAAGGCTATATGATTGTGGTGTGAGGTCAGTAAGAGATTTCTCCCTGTAGATGAGGGTCCGGTGGGGCGTGAAGCGGCCTGTGCTGTGGTTCAGTCTCTGGGCAGGTTTATGGCTGCGTACTTCACCAACCGGCCGCTGTGCATTCTCCCGCCACACAACATCGACGTGCTGCCGCCTCTTCACTTACCACACGGTGAGTTTGTTAGGATCGGACAATATTTGGCTGAGATACAACTATATTTGAAAATCTGGAATCTGAGGGTGCAAAAAAATCGAAATATTGAGAAAACCATCTTTAAAGTTGTCCAAATTAAGTTCGTAGCAATGCATATTATTAACCAAAAATTAAGTTTTGATATATTTACGGTGGAAAATTTACAAAATATCTTCATGGAACATGATCTTTACTTAATATCCTAATGATTTTTGGCATAAAAGAAAAATGTATAATTTTGACCCATACAATGTATTGTTGGCTATTGCTACAAATATACCCCAGCGACTTAAGACTGCTTTTGTGCTCCAGGGTCACAAATGTTCATGAGATGATAACTGGATGAGAGTTTCTGAACTAACGCAATAATGCAATGATGTAATGTGGTCATATTACATAGTTAACTGATGCAAAAAATAAAACTATTATTTATTTATTTGTATTTTAAATAAAAAATATTTTAAATACGTTTTTAAATACTTTAGGGCTGTCAGTCGATTAAAATGTTTAATCGAATTAATTACGCGCTGTGGCGATTAATTAAATCTAATTAATTACAAAGTATATTTGGTTGTGAAAATAACCACAAAATAATATTTAAAGCTATTATTGAGTTAAATGAGAACGTATCAAGTAGATATTACAAATAGTAGCTTTAGAAATAAATATTTTATGTCATTCAACAAACATAACATAAAACTTATATAAATGCTGAAAAAACCTAAAAACTAGTAAATATGACGAAGCAAAAAACTTTTATTAATAAGATATTAAACTTACTAAAACTTCAAATTAAAATAACATTAATACTGAAAATATAAAAATAAAATCTTTTTAAAGTTTAAATTTATATATATATATATATATATAATTCTAAATTAACACTGAAATATGAATATTAGATGAAAAATAAACTATTTTAAGTAGTTGCCAAGCAGCAACTAATTCTGATTTTCATTTAAGTTTTTAAGTTCACGTTGTCGTAAAGCAATTAAATTGCTAAAACTAAAAATGAAATCAATTAAAGCTAAATTAAATATAAAAAATAATAAAATGATAAAAATATATAATAAAATTACTAAAAACTAAAATTAATAGTAAAACTGAAAATGCAAATAAATACTGATAGCGCGCGCGCGCACAGGTGAGACCTGAACAGCACACGTTGATATCTGTGTTTAAACTAAACTCATGTAAGCTTTGCCAGTTTAAACATTTGAGAGCCAGTCTCAGCCAGAGGACCTGAACTTACTTACAGTGTCTTAAAGTGACAGCACTTTCTTAATATTAATCATAGACCTACCTAAAAAAAACTGAAAATCACTGTTTATTTTATTTGTATCTTTACTCTTTTGTATTTATTTGTGCTGTTGCTTGTAGTTAGATAGATTTATTATTTTCTTTATTTTTATTTGACAGTATAGTTTTTCCCTAAACATAGCACATACTATGCGTTTCACGGACTAGCGTTTCACGGTAGTTTCTGGCAACATACGGCAATGGACGCCGCGGTTACTATAGTTACTACATCTCACAATAAACAGATATGTATACATATCTATGACAATAAACAGAACATAATGAAATACAAACCTAACCAACTAAAAACAGACAAACATTAAAAAAACATGAGCGCTGCCTGTTTCTGCGCTACTTTGTGTACAGTCGTTACCGAGGAAACCGCTTTGTTTCTGCAGTGAAAGCGCCCCCTGCTGACCAATGACGGAAAATTTTATAATTAAGGCAAATTATATTTATATTGTTATTTAATTAATGTAATAATTGATTAATAATAACTATTGTTTAAATTGATATCATAATTGATACAAATGTATATAAAACTTTTTGTTTTGTGAAAACCTGTAAGTTATGCTTTTTACGGTCATTTTACAGTTTAATATGTTACCATAGTCATTGCCCTACTGCGCTCATATGATATTTTATTTGTGCAATGTCTTAAGTCTTACATTTGAGTTTAAAAATCCTGCAGATACTGAGTTTAAGATGACTTAAGGGAGCTCTTTTGGTCCCTTACATTTATTAAGGTGAAATGGTTACTAAGGACTTTGTAGCAATACTTAAGGGAACACTTAAATAATTAAGGGGAATGCTTAATGGCAGCCTTAAGGTTCCTTAAGTTGACCCTTAGGTTTTTTTCTTGCAACCCAAGTTTCACTAAGGGCTCCCTTAACTTTATAACTAAGGGATTTCTTAGCATAAGGGCTTTCATGCAACCGGGCCCTGCTACATTGTCGCTTCAGATGCTGCAGTGATGTTTTCATATCTCTCACTTTTCGGTCCTCCAGCCTGCGTTGGAGAGAGCTGCAGCTTCCCACCGAGCTGAAGCCTGCAGAGATATTCCAGGATCAGCTGGAGATGCTACTGGGCCGAACGGCTGGGTCTGAAGGAGATGCTAACACAGGTGAAAATGCGGTATTTATAATCAGGGGTAAATTATGAGATCTAGACCCTATAATTAAATCAAAACATAAGATTTACCACAGTTTTAATTCTGCACATTACACGAGGAACATCTCCAGGCATCTCAGGAGGTACTAAAATTAGTTAGGGGGCTGTTTTCACCTTTACTAGGTTCCATTAGCATCAGAGTTGCACGGTTCATAAACAAATCTTGAGTACTGTTATTAATTATCACATTATAGTTTTATACATCACAACCTTTTCTTTTTATTTTATTTTCTGGAATTAAGTTTAGTGGTGTTAGATTGTATCATTAGCTGACTTACTGAAATGTCTGTAAAAACGCTTCCTGAAAGTCATTGTAGAATTCACTCACACTGTATATAATATAATATAATGTAATGTAATTAATATAATATAATATATTATAATATATAATGTAATATAATATAATATCATTTCATTTCATATAATTTAATTTCATATAATATAATATAAAAGGCAATGTAATATAAAATATAATAATATAATATAATATATTATAATATATAATGTAATATAATATAATATCATTTCATTTCATATAATTTAATTTCATATAATATAATATAAAAGGCAATGTAATATATAATATATATTACGTGTTGTTACTGTTATCTAAAACCAGTATATAAATAAAATTAAAATTACTACAAAAATATAAAAAAAATACAATATTTAATCAAAATAAATATAAAATAAGATACTTCATATAATATAATAAGATTTTTTAGAACGGAAATTAGAAATGTTGCCTTGGCAACTAACCGAAATAAGTACTAAAGTACTAAAAAGACTAAAACTAAAGCTGAAGCCAAATGAAATTAAAGCTAAATACTATAAACTACTGGGATCAGTAAGATTTTTAATGTTTTTAAAGAAGTCTATTCAGCTTTGCATCACAGGAATAAATTATCTAATATATAAAAAAACTAATAAAAATGACAAAGCACATAAAATGAAAACTGAAAATGTAAAAATAAAAGCTATTTCAAAATATGAATTAATAGTATATAAATAATAGTAAAATGACACTGAAAATGAAATATAATCAGTCTACAGCTAATATGCTGTTTGTTTGTTGCTCCTTTAGGCACAGTGGGTGTCGAGGACGTGGATCTGGTTCAGGTCTCTGTGCAGGAGATCCTGAAGGCGTCTGTCATGGCGGAGGTGGACGTCATCTCTCAGCCTCTAACACGACTTCTGGACGCAGCCAAAGAGCGAGCGATGTCACTTCCTGCTCTGGTTCCTCCTGCGTTCTACCTGCCTGCTCCTCCTCTGTACTGTCCACAGCCTTCACCGAACACACAGGTGAATCACACACAAGCCCGGTTTCCATCCTAAGTTGCGAATTTAACTTATGTGCAAAATTGGAATATTGCATAAAACATTTGCAACCGTGTCAGAGAACAAAATCGTCACTTCCTGATAAACTGGCACTATATTTCACTAGGAAAAGTAGGAGAAGCCACTGAATATAATAGTTCTCAAATATAATAAATTACTTGCGCTTCGAGTGAGCAGACGAAACACAATAAATGCGCTCTTGCTTTTTGAGGTGAATGCCTGCTGTTTGGGAACGCAGTCGTGGTAGACCGTTCTGAGAGGCAATATATATATATAAATATTTATTTCTATATACAGAAATACTTTGATGACAGACTTTGCTCGGCCATGACAACAGTTCAGATGCTGTGCAACAAAATCGGTCCGCTGGTTAGTCAGATTTTGCCGTCCCATAGCGCAAAGTCACATGTATTTTTTGAACGCTCATGCGGGAATTATTTGCAAAATGCATTATTATCCCATTATTCGCATTAACCCTTTATCACAAGTCAAAAACCACCTCAAGCGAGCGTAAAAACTTTTTTGCGAATTAAGGGATTTCTTTTCGAAATTTGGCATTTCCATCACTCGTTTCTGATGCGATACTTCAAAATGCGCATAAAAAGAGGGTGATGGAAACATAGCTACAGAGACGCCCGACCGTCACGTCTGTCTCTGTCGCGTCTATCTTATCTTCAGCTGTGTGTCCATCTCCTCAGGACTCTGTGAGAGATGCAGCTCTGGTTCTGGAGAGGGAGTCTCGCTGCCAGGTTTCTGGGCTGGTTCAGAAGGTTCTGATGCTCTTCAGAGCGGCACACAGCTCTCGGCCCGCGGCGCAGTGGTACATCAGCAACCTGCATCGCTGCAGACACCTACTGCACAAGGTGTGTTTCCCATGTGTCCACCTCACAATTACTTACCTAATTACCCAGCAGTTACTTGGACATGTACCGTTATAATGTCTCAGTATTCTCTGGGTGTCAGTAACCTTTATCTAACCAGGTTAAATGTAAAGGTTACTTACTAACTAGCTATGTTAGCAGTTACTTGGACATGTACCGTTATAATGTTTCCATATTCTCTGGGTGTCAGTAACCTTTATCTAACCAGGTTAAATATAAAGGTTACTTACTAACTAGCTATGTTAGCAGTTACTTGGACATGTACCAACATATTAGCAGTTACTTGGAAATATGCTGTTACATAATGCCTTAGTATTGTTTGGGAGTTAGTAACCTTTATCTAGCCAGGTCAAATATAAAGGTTACTAACTAACCAACAATCAAGTACCATTGTAATGTCTTAGAATTCTTTGGGAGCTAGTTAGTACTGTTTGGATTTAGTACTAGTTAATACTAGTTTGGATGTTGTTTTAAGAATCTTACTGATACTCTCTGTTGGTAGATCCAGAAGAAAGAGTCCAAACACTTTTGTCCAAAAATGAGTTAACGTTGATTTATTCAGGCTAAAATAAAGGTTACTAACTATCTAACTACCTAACATGTTAGCAGTTACTTGGACATGTACCATTATAATGTCTTAGTATTGTTTGGGAGTTAGTAAACGTTATTAAACAACCAGGTTAAATATAAAGGTTACTAATTAAATAAACAACTCACCAGCTAACTAACTAGTTTTTTAACTTCTTTTTTTCTCTTTTTTTTTGAAAAAGTACCATTGGAATGCCTTAGAATTCCTATTTGGATTTAGTACTAGTTAGTAGTAGTTTGGATATTTTTTTAAGAATCTCATTGATATTTTCTGTTGGTAGATCTGGAAGAAAGCGTCTGAACCCAAAGCAGAATTGGTTCCTGATGGACTGCGGAAATTCTCCACTAATCGTGGGTTCTTCCAATCAGGGCCCAGCAAAGACATGGATAGTGTCACTACGCAAATCATAAGTATGCTTACTCTATTTAGCTTTTTTTGCAAATATTATGTGAAACAGTATGCATGTGTTGTATGCTGCACATTTGGGCAAATGTAGCAGGTCATCCACACTGTAAAAATTATTTTTAGTTTCTGAGTGAAAATTGTTTCAAAGTAAATCCTGTACAAAATGTTTTAATAAACATGTTAGTAGTTTTTTTTGTATTTTTTTTTTATATTTAGTGTTTAGAATTCTTGAAGAGTTAGTTAGTAACCTTTATTTAACCAGGTTAAAAACAAAGGCTACTTACTAACTAAATTGTTAGTAGTTTTTTAGGACATGTACCATTGTTCTTACGAAGTTAGTAACCTTGATTTTACCAGGTTAAAAGTAAAGATTACTATCTGTCTAATTGACATTATCTAATAAACATTATTACTAGGCAAGTTACAATGTCACATGTTTTGGACATGTACCATTGTAATGTTTTAGTATTCTTTGAAATTTTGTTTGTAACCTTTATTTAACCAGGTTAAAATATACGTAACTAACTAACTTTTTTTGTTTGTTTTTTACATGTAACATTGTTATTTTTTTTATTTTTTGGTAGTTAGTAACATTTATTTAACTAGGTTAAAATAAAGGTTACTAACTAACTAAATAATTAAATAACTAACATGTTAGTACTGTTCTGCACATGTACCATTATAATGTTTTTGTTTGAGAGTTAGTAAGTAGCCATTATTTAACCAGGTTAAAATAAAGGTTACTAACTAACTTGTTAGTAGTTTTTTGGACATGTACCATTGTTATATTTTACAATTCTTTGGTAGTTAGTTAGTAACATTTTTTTAAACTAGGTTAAAATAAAGGTTACTAACTTACTGACTGACTAACTAACTAACATGTTAGTTGTTTTTCAGACATGTACAATTGTAATATTTTAGTATTCTTTGGGAGTTAGTTAGTAACCTTTATTTAACCAGACTAAAATAAAGGTTACTAACTAAATAAATAAGTAATTAAATAACTGACTAACATGTTAGTAGTCTTCTGCACATGTACCATTGTAATGGTTTTTGTATTCTTTGAGAGTTAGTAACCTTTATTTAACCAGGTTAAAATAAAGGTAACTAACTAACATGTTAGTAGTTTTTTGGACTTGTACCATTGTAATATCTTAGTATTCTTTGGGAGTTAGTAACCTTTATTTAAACAGGTTATAAAGGTTACTATCTAACTAACATGTTAGCAGTTTCTTGTTTATGGTTCTTAGTATTCTTTGGGAGTTGGTAACCAGGTTAAAAATAAAGATTACTATCTGTATAACTAACATTATATAATACACATAGTAGTTTTCTGGACATGTACTATTGTAATATTTTAGTATTCTTTTGGAGTTATTTAGTAACCTTTATTTAACCAGGTAGATTTTTTTTCAGTGCAAGTATTTTGTACTGAACATATCAAATTTATGTTCTATTCCCAGTATGCATAGTGCATACTTCAAACATAGTTTGAGTAGTAGGCCATTCTGAACTTGTTTTGAATGGCTTGAGCTAATTAATGTGTGAATATGGTAAACTTACGGTAAACTCTTTCTTGTGTTTGTAGTTCTAAGACAGCAAAATTTCTGGATGCACCTGAGAAATCAACACAAGAAAGAAAAGGAGATAAAAGATCAGGCACAGTGGAACCCAAAGCACCAGACTCGACTGTACCCACAGTGGGAACCTGGGAGTTTGAGCTGGAGGATGAGGAGTACACGCTCTTTCTAGATTTGTTCCTCAGCTACATGCTGGGAAAAGACAGACTGGACGCTGAGGAGTCAGAGCTGCCTTTACTGAGTGCTTTCTCACAACAGCTCCGTACTAGAGAGCTGCACTCGGTGACCTTTGACATGCTGACCACTCTCAAACGCCGTCAGAAGGATCGGAAACGAAGTGCGCAGTTACCCCTCTTCCATGCCGGTCACTGCTTCCAAACTCTCCCGGTTACTCCCAGACCTCCGTCATCCATCGGGCCGGTTCAGTCCGACACTCATTCTACGTCACCATGGGCTCTTCCTGGACTCCATACTGGGAAACATCAAGGTCTTTTTGCCCTTCGTCGACATGCTACCTTAATGTCCAAAGACGTTAAAGTAAATTCGATTGGCACAGATGTCGAGTCAACAGGCTTTAAGATCCTCTCTCAGGCTGAATTAGATATTCAGATGGAGCTGGACTCCTCTCTCGAGGCCCGGTTTCCTCAGCTGGCCCGGCTGCTGGAGTGGATGATGCGCTGGGCCGACAGGCGGGTTCTGCTCTCTCAGCCAATCAGAAAGACCTCAGAGGGCTCCGGTGATTCGGTGGTCATCAGGGTCAACGCCTCGACCCCTGCAGTGCTGACAGCGCTGGAGCTGCTAAAGCGGAGGTACAGCGCCGCCCTGCTGGGAGAAAACTCAAATCACTCCCATACTAAGGTAAGGATGCATTTTGAGATGTAGTGATTTAAATGAAGCTGTTATTCCATATTCTCACAAATTCAGAATAGATGGGGTGTCATGTGCCTGTTTAAATTTTAATGGGTCAGCAGTGTCAGTGCAAAGTCATTCAAAGACAAAAACTATTTAAAAATGGTAGAAGCGTAAGACAGGTTAGTCTGGTTGCAAAGTTTTTGATAACCGTGCAACAGGACCTGTGTTCTGATCCCGATCTAACATTATTTTTTGTGAAGGAACAAAATAAAAGTTATTAGTGGATCATGATGGAACGGCATGATTCAAGCAATTTTGATGGAAATACCCATGCAAAATAAATAAATAAATAAAGATAAATAAATAAAATAATAATAATAATTATTATTATTAATAATACTTAATATTATTTATTTATTTATTTTGCATGGGTATTTCCATCAAAATTGCTTGAATCATGCCGTTCCATCATGATCCACTAATAACTTTTATTTTGTTCCTTCACAAAAAATAATGTTAGATCGGGATCAGAACACAGGTCCTGTTGCACGGTTATCAAAAACTTTGCAACCAGACTAACCTGTCTTACGCTTCTACCATTTTTAAATAGTTTTTGTCTTTGAATGACTTTGCACTGACACTGCTGACCCATTAAAATTTAAACAGGCACATGACACCCCATCTATTCTGAATTTGTGAGAATATGGAATAACAGCTTCATTTAAATCACTACATCTCAAAATGCATCCTTACCTTAGTATGGGAGTGATTTGAGTTTTCTCCCAGCAGGGCGGCGCTGTACCTCCGCTTTAGCAGCTCCAGCGCTGTCAGCACTGCAGGGGTCGAGGCGTTGACCCTGATGACCACCGAATCACCGGAGCCCTCTGAGGTCTTTCTGATTGGCTGAGAGAGCAGAACCCGCCTGTCGGCCCAGCGCATCATCCACTCCAGCAGCCGGGCCAGCTGAGGAAACCGGGCCTCGAGAGAGGAGTCCAGCTCCATCTGAACATCTAATTCAGCCTGAGAGAGGATCTTAAAGCCTGTTGACTCGACGTCTGTGCCAATCGAATTTACTTTAACGTCTTTGGACATTAAGGTAGCATGTCGACGAAGGGCAAAAAGACCTTGATGTTTCCCAGTATGGAGTCCAGGAAGAGCCCATGGTGACGTAGAATGAGTGTCGGACTGAACCGGCCCGATGGATGACGGCGGTCTGGGAGTAACCGGGAGAGTTTGGAAGCAGTGACCGGCATGGAAGAGGGGTAACTGCGCACTTCGTTTCCGATCCTTCTGACGGCGTTTGAGAGTGGTCAGCATGTCAAAGGTCACCGAGTGCAGCTCTCTAGTACGGAGCTGTTGTGAGAAAGCACTCAGTAAAGGCAGCTCTGACTCCTCAGCGTCCAGTCTGTCTTTTCCCAGCATGTAGCTGAGGAACAAATCTAGAAAGAGCGTGTACTCCTTAATACTTAATATGAATAAATATATATTTTTATATTTCTATTTTTTTGTTATTTGTATATGATTTTTGTCAGTATTTTATATATGTGTGTGTGTGTGTGTGTGTTTATACATACATACATACTAGAGGTCGACCGATGTATCGGTTTTGCCGATTAATCTGCACCGATAGTTGATTGCTGGAACTATCGGTTATCGACAAAAATCCATGCCGATAGTTTTCCAGGTTGCGTCCATTGCTGGAGCGGCTGAGTTTAAGAATATTTTAAATTAGCTTTCAATTTTTATATTATTAGTTTTCATTTTAGTCAGTTTATGTGCGTTTGTCATTTATTTATTTATTACTGTTTTTAAATATTGCTATGTAGGTTTCATTTCTTTTATTACAGTTCTGTTTTAGTTCTACTTAAGTTGTAGTTTTTATTTTATTTCCAATTAGTAAATTTGAGTACTTTTTTCAGTTAGTTGCCAAGGCAAAATTTTGACTTTGTTTTTCATGTAATGTTTATATTCCAGAATGATATTAATTAACAAATGACTGTTTTTAATAGTTTTAGTTTAACAATAACAACCCTGATCAACATGCAGTGACACGCTGACATAGCAAGTGTTTAGTCATGAACTCAGATTTTTCCCTTAATGAAATCCAGTCACAGCGGTCACATGGAGTGCTCACCGGAAGCACATTTATGATGCATGCTAATGCCGTGATCTCTCTCGAGTGACCACTTATGATCAGATCACCTGAGATGGACCTCAGGGGAGACGTATAGTCAGTATTTTAGTTCATAGGGCTTCAGCTGTCAGAAACCCCCAGATCACGACACCACAGGGACTTCAGCAGAAATGTGAAACAGACTCTGAACTCTCTGCGTTACTCTCCTGCGCTCCACCAGGGGGAGGAGTCTATCGCTCAGCCAATCACAGGCTGGAGGCGGGACAGAGAAAGCAGTGTGGACACGGGTTACCCGGGGTCAGCAGGGACGCCCATCACACTCCCGGAGCTGGAGGTCCAAGAGTGAGTCCACAGCACACATCTGCTGAAAACATGACTGACAAACACTCCTTATGATGCTTTCACAAACAAAGAAAAAAAGACCTCAAACTGACGGTCTAGAGAAGTATGTGCATATGAAAACACATGTGAGCTACAAAACAGTGTGCAAAGAGTAAATCAAAAGCATTTTTCAGGACATTAGCAATCACAACCAGTTTGAACACTTCAACTCCTTATTGTTAATTCGGAATATTTTCCATATGCACTATAAAAAAAATTTTTCAGTGTTTAGTTTTTTTTTTATAAAAAGTTTTTTTTTTATAAATAAAACAGATTATTTTTCTACCTCAGATTTCACATTTAATTCCGTGTGTTACTTGTTGTTTCTTGTTATTATTTGTGAAATTTGCAAATTGTGAAATCTCTCTCCTTCCCTCTCTATAGAAAAATGTTCACTTTTTATAGAAAATGTTTCACTTTTACACATTAATTTATATTAAAAAAATATATATATTTAAAAAATATAATACAAAAAATATAAATATAAAAAATATAATAAAATATAAAAATATATATAATAATTAAAAAAAATAATATAAAACTTTTTTCCGATGTTATATATAAAATTTTTTTTTCCGATGTTATATATAAACATAAGTCAATAGATTTTTTTTGTCTATATTTTTTTTTCTGTCTCATATCAACATCTGTGTTATTTTAGAATTATTTGTATACTATTATAATTTTTGCTAATATTTTAAAATAGCTTTTAATTTTTTTATATTTTCAGTTTTTGTTTTTCTTTTTAATAATTTTTTTTATGTGCCTTTGTCATTTTTATTAGTGTTGTAAACTTTTTGTTTTTAAATTTTACCAAAATAAATACCAAATTGTTTCTACACCAGTGGTGTGTTACTAAAGCAATAAGCCCCAAGAAGCCGTGGTTTACAGTGAATTTATAACAGCTAAGGGGCGTTGTTAGACGCGAAGCGGAGTGCCTAAAACCCCCTTAGCTGTTATAAATTCACTGTAAACCACAGCTTCACTGGGCTTATTGCTTTAAAAAAATGGTTATTCCATATACGTAGTAAGGTTGTTTATAACAGCTAAGGGGCGTTGTTAGACGCGAAGCGGAGTGCCTAAAACCCCCTTAGCTGTTATAAATTCACTGTAAACCACAGCTTCACTGGGCTTATTGCTTTAAAAAAATGGTTATTCCATATACGTAGTAAGGTTGTAATAAAGTGTAATGATATAAATAAAAACAGTATTCTTCCACCAAACAATGTAGTTCCTCAGAAACAGTTGTGGTTGCAACAAAGTGGTTGCCGAGCAACACACAAACGTAAACAAAGGTGTATGTTACTTTGTAGAGTAATTTGCAACAGCTTCGAACGCGGCTCAGCCAATCAGAATCAAGCACCGGAACTCTTCGTTTTATAAAATAATGGAAATGGAATTCTGCGAATGATGTTGTAACAAAAGCATGTGACACAAATGAAAACTCTTATATTTAAGCATTTCGATTGAGTTAAATGTGTCCAGTACACATTTGTCCAATCGAGTCAAAGCTTTTGAAGATGTCAAAAGCAATTACACAAAGCAAACAAGTAATTGAAGGCAACTAGATAGTTCACAAATAGAAGTGCAGTTTTAACAATGTTGTGTGATGTTTGTTCTCAGTGCGCATGAATCCGAGGATCAGACGGATGATCAGCTGTCTGAACGTGAGGACACCGTGATCTCTGATGAACAGAAGAACATCAGTGAGACCCGAGACATCAGACAGACATCTGCAGCTACAGACGGTCAGATTCCTCGACACTAAACCTGACACACATATTCATGCCTTTTCTGTTTGATTAACAAATAATGTCATTATTCATCAAATTATGAATTCTAATTATTATTCATGTTAATTAAAACCGTATTCTTGTTCATAGTAGTTTTGTTTACAGATGAGAGCAGCGCCGCTGATGTCACCGAGGCATCATGGGCCAATCAGAGCAGAGCTCACAGAGATCAGGTGACTAATGATTTCATACATCACTGATAGTTCGTTTGTTTTGAATGTTTTGAGGTCAAGTACTGTTCAAAAAGACGTGGTTACACAGATCAATTGCATCGTTCATTCAGTCTAATGACACTAAGCTGTAAAGTTAAACGTTGTATATTGGAACGTCTGTACATAACTATACTGTTTGTTGTTTCTTATAATCACTTCCTGTTTCACATCATGAATATTTATACTTAAATCAACTTAAATGTACTTAAATCAGTACCTCAAAATCTAAATTTATACTTCATATTTGTACTTAAATCCATATTTATTTAATGTATTTTTTATGTATGTGTGTATGTATTTATACTTTTTTAATAATACATTGTAGTGGTCGACCGATATTAGTTTTTTGACAGCCGATGCCAATATCTTGGAAAGCAGGGTGGCCGGTAGCCGATGGCCGATATAATTTTATTTATTTTAATTAATATTTAAGAAATTTTAAACGATAGGTCTTCCGGGCAAAAAGTGTAGTTTTTAAACTATATTTAAACTTCATACTCTAACATAAAAGGTCTTTAAAGTTGTGTTTTGGGCCATTATGCT